AGAGGTCTATTAAACGGTGGGAAAATCGGCATATTCGGCCTAACTGCCTCGATATGAGGGCTGGGGGGCAGTTGGGAACACGGTGCGTTTTGAGTCGGGGTATTTGAGGCACTGTTAGCCGATTGTGGAGGAAAACATTTTACAATGGCGCTTGATTTATTGGGTGTCCGAGTGACTACTTGTTTCATCAGAGCAGTGAGTTTTGGCTTGATTCAGACTGCTGTAGATTGTACTCTTTTTGTGGGTGACAGGGTGGTTATTCCTGCGTTGTATGACGACCTTTGAATATGAGTCTTTGCGATAAACTCATACGTGAAGTGGTCCATCGGTTTTTTGACTTACAAGAACATCCATGAATGGAGGTTGTCCACCAGCCTCTGTTTCGAAAGTAAACTTTATTCCTGAAAATATGAAGTTGACATTGGTATGGTGCAGAATGAACTGATTTTTCTTGACGATGACAAATGTGTCATCTACATATCACAGCCAGAGTTTTGAGTTTAATTTGGGAAGAGCTATGGTTTCTAATTTCTGCATTATGGCCTCTGCCAGAAAACCGGATATGGGTGAACCTCTGAGAGACTCTTTTAATTGTCGATAGTATATTTTGGAGAAGAAAACATTTGTTTCCAGACAGAGATCTAGGAGTTGCAGTAAAGTGTCTGCAGGCACCTTTGATGTGTATGTTTGAAGATGTTCTTCGGTGCAGCTCCTCGTTTAATCTAGCGGAATCGAGGTAAAGAGCGAGACCAAGTCGAGGGATACCATTACCTCGTCACATGCAGCGATGACGCCTTCTTGCTAGTCTAGAGACTCTTTTGAATCCTGAATGAAGTTCTCTGAGTTCTTTGCAAGTGGGTGTAGTTGGCGTAGTAGTCACTTCGAGAACCAGGACGAAAATTTACTCAATAAGGATTTCTACTCTTCCCAAAGAACGTATTTGCCTTCAAATATGAAACTTTGAAAGCAAATTAGTCCTTTGGGAAATTGAACATACTTTATTTCTTAAATTTTCGACGCTGGTTCCCCAGGTCATCGTTAGACGTGCGGAAAGCGTGAAAAGCAGTAAAAATTTAAACATGCCCGAAAAATCGATATTGTTTGGCCAGTGCTGAGGATGGGTCGATGTTGCGGACAGATATTACCCTTTGACTGGCGATTACCTTTTCAACTTTTCTTTGAGGTTCATGTACATGGCGTCCAGGTCAATGCGCCGCTTGATGCATGAACTATCGGACCAAATGGCCTCTAGGAATTCTTTGCCTTCTTTATATGGGCAGGAACCCACAATGTGCATTTTATCCCAAGCAAATGTGTGCCCAGTTTCTAGAACATGCATGGCGACTTGGGATAAGTGGTCCCGCCTCTTGACTGTCAGTTGGTGTTCATGCTGGCGTGTGGGGACGGATTGTCAGGTTTGTCCGCAATATATCTCATTACAAGTGCCGCATGAAACCTTATAGACTACTTCTTTCTGCCTAAATAACCAACCCTATCTTAAGGATATACAAGCTGATTGCGTAGCGTTGTCGTTGGTTTGTGTGCCACTTGTATTGGGTGTATCCTCAGGTGTCTTTCAACAAGTGCATACACATTTTCATGCAAGGAAGCGTTCACCACTTTTCGAGTTTTGGCGTCTGGTCGGAACAGTCTAGTTCATTGTCCCGTTCTTGTGATTCCTGCTGTCTCATGCACCGGCGTACGAAATCTCTAGGTAGTCATTTCGGGAAAATAATTTGAACAAATAATTGAGTTCTATTTTGCACCCCTCGTTCTCAGAGCAGCGCATCTTTGCTTGATTAATTAGGGCGTTAACAGCACTCCGTTTGTGAGCGATAGGGTGGTTGCTCTCGTGATATAGGATAACTTCCGCCTAAGCTTCTTTGATTTTAACTGATGTGTGGAATGTCTCGCCAGTTTTCCGCTGTACGAGTACATAAAGAAATGAGAATTTGCCGTCAACTTTTTTTTTCTTGCGTGAAGGTGATTCCCAGTAATGCTGAGTTGATAACGTTATCAAGGGTTCCCAGCTGATCTCTGTTAACGATGACAAAGGTTTCATCAACATAGCTTACCCATAATTTGGATTGAATAATGGTAGGAACATAGCCTCTAATTTTTGCATTGTGATCTCGGCCAAAATCCAGAACTGGATGAACCCATAGGAGCTCATTTTAGATGCCGATAATGTTCATTTGCGAACGAAAAGTTAGCTCCCAGATGTGAGTTCAATAGTAGATTTAGGAACATCGATGTCGCAGGATTGTCAGAGTTCTTCCGTGCATCGCCTTGCTTAATCGAGTGGTATGGATGTGAATAGGGAGACAACATCAAACAATACCATCATCTCGTCCTTATTAATAGTGAGTCCTCGTATTTTGTCTAGAAATTCAATGGGATTCCCGATTGAAGTCTTACAATCCTTTGTTAAAGGATTGAGTTTGTGGAACAGCCATTTAGAAGTCTTTTAATTCGGTGCACCGATTAATGGTAGTATAGGTCGCAATGACACGTCGGGTTTGTGAACCTTCGGTAACAGGGTAACACGGTTTTTCTTAGTATGTCCCTAGTTGTCCCTCTCAGATCCTTCTGAGCACATACAAAAGTGCGTCGTTGTATTGCGTACGCACGCTCATGAACGTGTTTTTATGTGACAAAAGTAAATGTCACAACAAGACATAGTGCTCTTATGTCGGGCTGGAATTCAGGTAGGTTGACCGCCATGAGCTGGGAAGACTATGTAAGAGGCCCACACCTAATAATAACAACGATTTTTTTTATTAAAGACCCGTCGGGGTCCC